AGGCATTGGTAATGAAGAAGAAATGGACCTTGCAGAGCACTGTGAACAATGTTTACTAGCCCACTACTCTCTGCTTCCCCTGGCCATTTCAGAAGTTTTTGGTGCAGAACACTAATTTTTCATTAGCTTTTTGTTAGTATGCTGCTGCTTTTGTGTGTCTAGACTGTAGCAGGCTTGGAAATTAAGGTGGCTGTGAATACTTCACATTTGGAGGCTAGCTACAGACAACCATCACTCCCACACTGATTTTTATTACATTGCATTAAATCTCTTCTGTGATCACTCTAAAGCCAAAGGGAGCCGGGCACCTAACTCATCCATGTCTTTGAGAATATCCACCTATGCGAACTGGCAGCAAAATATTTATGGGGTTGTACAAGACAGACTGTTTCTTGCCTTGGGCGAGTGACTGGCACTCTGCCCACCTGGTGGGGCCTCTCACACTGAATTACCGAAGCTACCATGGAAAAGAATCCCTTAGGCACTATATCCTCAACAGCCACAGATTATTTTGGGGTACAAATCACAGCATTTGGTCACCTTCCTCTAGGCTGGAGGGTACCGTAAAAGCCCCCTAGTTGGGTCTCTTCAGGGTTCACTGCTGCCAGTGCATCTGTGGGGAATGTGGCACATCTGACCCTGTCCCAAAAGCTCACTGGGAGGGGAGCCACCCACTGGCAGGTCCTCTGTGACCCAGCTGTGCCAGGCTGGGAAATCACAGGGGGAGCAGTGTGAACGCAGCCAAAACTCCAGGCAGGCACTGAGCCTCTCCCCTGAGTGCCTGGGGGTGCAGCGTTCCTCCTCTGACCGGGGTCACCTGGGGTACAAATCCACTCTGGAATGCCCTCGCTGCACTTTCTGCGCTGTGGACTGATGCTTTGCACAGAGACAGCCCCTACCACTGGAGCTGTAACACATTATTCTGTTGCTTTGAATATGCTCTTTGAAAACCAGAATGGCTGCTCTTGTTTTTTCTCCTCTCTCCACCCAATTAAAAGCATGGATCACTTGAGCCACTGGGGTGCAAATAACCACTTTGGCTAATGATATATGTGCCAGGGTTTTAACTGCATTTCAATCACAAAAATGCATGAAAAGCACCTTCAGGTTGAAAAGCCAAGTACTTAAAAGCAAGCAGTAAGAGCTCTTCTGGAACTTACTAAATATTAGTAATATTAAGCACTCTGAAGATACACAGTTATCTCATCCTGGCTTCCTAGGATCTGGAGGAGACTTTTTTCCTAAGCGTTTTATCATCTCATTGATCCATCTGCAAAAAGCACAGTCACCTTGGTCAAAGAGAATCTCTGTGATGATTCATTAGGCAATGTTTATAGCATGTTTGGGCAACATTAATGACAAGAGCCAAGGAAAAGCTTTTGGGAAGTTAATAACTTGCCTGTCAAAGGAGGTTTGGAATAACATGCAGTATAGAACACAGGAGGACAAATACCTGGCATTAAGGAAACATCCCAGGATAATATGATTGCTTATCACCCGAATACTGCCTTTCTGACATCCTACGAGGAGTGGGATCCCATGGAAAAAATACCATGTGATCACACAGCAATGGTTGAACACGCAAACAGTAAAACCCTGGGTGTGTGTATTCTTGGACAATGGCAGAAGATCCCGTCAAGTCTTACAAATAGGTCCCTTCACCATAAAATTTCAAAACTTGCCTCCCAAGCCTGAGGAGAGTTGAGCTTTCCTAAGATACCCCTGCAAGATTATAACATAATATACATTTTCCCTTAACTTCACTCTTGCAAACAAAGTGAACCATCTTGGCTCAAATTAGAGCAAATAAATAAATAGAAAAAGCATGTTAAGCTCAAGACTGATATCCAGGTTGACCCCAAAGACCTAAGGTTTGTCAAAGTTGTATGCAGGTGACATTAGGCTCTGCGAACAGGAAGGGTCAAACTGCATTTTAGCACCTGCAGGCACAGCCAAAACCCACACTGCTGTCCCAGTCAGACCTCACCACTTCAATAAACACAGACAGCAGAAATTATCCCAGGTAGGAGACATGACAGCAACCCCCTGCCCTTCCTTCAAAGCCTGTAGCCTTTGTTATTTTTTAGAAACTACATTTCCCAAAGACATCTCACCTAGATTCTGCTACAGCATAAAAATTTAAATAGGAAAAAACTTGTGCCCTTCTCTCCCAACCCCATCTCCAGCGTGCAAGCAAGGTGACAGCTCACCCTCTGGTCAGAGATTGCTCAGGCCTGACACGCAAACAAAGCTGTGCTTATCAGAGCGGT